CAGCAGGAAGTGGCTTCTGATCTGACCTGTCTTTTTCCCAGGCTTCCATGCTGAGCTCCTGCCCATCTTCAGCCCTGAACTCTCACCTAGAAACCTGGTTCTGGTGGCAACCAAGGTGCCCCTGGGTCAGGCCTTCTCTGTTCTGGAGACCGAAGACAGCTGACACATTCCAAGGAAGGGCGTATCTCACCAAATCTGAAACTACCCAGATGCCACAGTGCGGCAGACTGGGCCTCCACACAGAGAACCAGCAGCCTGCATCCTGCCTGGAGTCCGGGCTTCCCACAAACCTGTACATTTTTAATTTATTGAAAGATGAAAATCTTGGGGCTGGCAAGTGGCATGGTTGTTAAGGGCACTGGACTCCCACATGGCCAACTATGGTTCAAGTCCCAGACCTGGTGACTTGCTTTCTCACTTTCTCTCTCACTCTCTTGCTCTGTCTCTCTCTGGTCAAATTAAAATAAATAAAGTTTTAAAAATTTCTTAAAAAAAAAAAGAAAACTGGGTATCTTTGTTTCCCTTCTATTTCTGTAAGAGGAGGAAAGGATATCCCCTTACCCCTGGGAAATGGGGTGCCCAATGCATCACCCAGAAGTGTTTCCAGAGGCTCTGCAGTTGGGGCTCACTGCCTACTCCCCATGACCCTTCCTGACAGGCACCCTGGGGAGTAGCAACAGTTTACATAGAGGGAACATCCCTGCTTTGGTTTCTATTTCAGAATCTGCAGGCCCCACCCATTGGCAGGGCTGCCTTAAGGCTGGCTCGTGCCACACGACCTGCCATAGCCTTCAGGTCCTGAAATGGGTATGTATATTGGGGCTTCAAGGTGCCATCTACAGAGAGTAGCTGCACACAGGACGTGGCTTTTTTTATTCTTTATTTTTTTAAATTTACTATAGGGTGTATGCACTCGCCAGAGAGAGGAAAGTAAGAAAGCATCCCTCACAGGGGATGGCCACACCACAATCCTTTCTCCATTCTCATCTCAGGATTCGGGGCACACCTGCGCATGCACCCAACGTGTTTTCCAAGTCGCCAGGTCGGAGACTCAAATCAAGCAGTCAGCCACGCCACAGGTAGGCCCAGTTCTTGGCTCTTTATTGGTGTCTGAAGAAGAGGTGCCCCAGCCTTTGGTACAGAGGTTGGGAAGAAGCTGCTCTTCCCAGGCTCAATACCAGTAGACTTTCTTGTATCTCCGGGTCTCCTGGATCCCCATCGCCTCCATCACCTCCTCCTCCAGTGTCTTTAGACGGGGCACATAGGTTTTTTCTAGAGCATCTTCCACCGATGTGTCTTTGGGGCCATCTGTTGAGTCAGAGGAAAGGACAAGGGTAGGAGGGTTTGCCAACGTTTTTTATTTTCAAGTTTATTTTTTCCATAAGACAGGAAGATAGCACCCTCAACAGGTTCTTGGTGGTGCAATACCCCTCCAGCCTTGGCCAGCCCTGGATCACAGGCACACGTATGTCCAGCATACTCGGGGAGGTCTCCAGACATTAACACGGACCTTCCCATGTGGGTCAACTTTGCAAAACATCACTTTTTACTGCTGTCCCACCATTTGGCCCCCCAAGTTGTTTTGTTGTTGTTGTTGTTGTTATAGGGTATGTGTACTCGCTAGAGAAAGACAGCAAGATAGGGAAAGTGAAAAACCTCCTCGTGGGAGGATGGCTATATTGCATTCCCTTCTCCATTTTCCTCTTGGGGTTTTAGGCATGCACACACATGCACCCAGCAAGATTTTTAGGCCAGCCAAGGTCTGGGACTCGAACTACACAGTTGGCATGTGGGGTCCAGCATCTTAACCTCCATGCCACTCACTGGCCCCCAAGTTGTCTTTTTACCATCTCTTACTCACTTCTGCCTCCTGCCCCCCACCTCCCTGCCCTTCACCCCAGCCTCACCAATCCATGTTTCAGGGACAATGCCATCAGCTCTGGGAAATTCAGGTTTAGGGATAATCCTCCCCGATCTTGTGGAGACTCGTACCCGCTCTCCTGCCTCAGAAAATCTCCACTCGATCTCAGTGGGTTTCCTGGTGGAGAGAAGAGGTGAGCCTGGCCTGGGGATGAGGTCCCTTGACACTGTCCATCCCAAAAGTATAATCAGGAAAGCACCAAGGTTACTACCTGTTCCTCTCCCCGTGTATTGGGGTAATCCAGGGAATCATGGCCTTGAGATGGCGCCTCAACTTCCAGAGCACCCAACCCTGATTCTCACTAGGTAAATGTGCTTTCCCTCCCAGCCACTGTCAGCACCTTGGTGGATTCCAGAAACCCTCTGACCAGACCCCACATGCTTGCCTGTCCACAGGATCCACGAGTTTGACCTGGCTGTGCAGCAAGGGGGCCTCGCTAGGGATCATGGTTCCCCGGGAGTCCTTGGTCTTGCCAATGTAGCGGTAATGCTGTGAGAGAGGGGGGACATCAGAAAGCAGGCCATGGAGGGGCTTGCCCATACTGCTCAGTGCTCAGCCAAGAGAAGCAGAAGATTCAGTTGCCCTGCCACCCTGTGCTGCTTGTTTATTTATTTATTTATTTTTTACATTTTTGCCATAGGGTGTGTGCACTTACCAGAAGGAGACAGAGACATAGGGAAAGTGAGAATTTACCCCCCAAGGGGGATGGCCATGCCATGATTCCTCCTCCATTCTCCTGGGGTTTTGGGCACGCATGCACACGCACCCAGCATGATTTTCAAGCCACCAGGTCTGGTTACACAAACCATAGTCGGCCATGTAAGAATCTAATGTCCCAACCACTACACCACCTGTCCACCTCCCTGTGCGGCTCTTAACGCACACGGGCCAATGGGACAGGATTCCTGACATCTCCATCCTCTCTCCACTTACTGTGTTCAGCCCTTCCAGGACCACCCAGTTTCGCTGCCGGATCACTTGAACTACTTTGCCCTGCTTCCCAGCATCCTTGCCTTCTAGAATCTCCACCTGTGGGAAGACACGAGGCTCAGAGGGAAAGTCCTCCCCAGGAGCCTCCCTGCCATTCTCCGCCCTGTCTGGGGCACTCACCATGTCCCCACAGAACAGATGCCAGTCTTCATCAGAGATGGGTTCCACGACTACCGGGCGCCGCCTTTTCCCTGGGGGGTTCTTCCTCTTGTCTGCCAGGGAGCCTGGGCGGTTCATCCCATAGCGGTAGTGAGGAGGCAGACTGACCTTGGATGCCAGGGCCAGCAGAGCAGACAGTCGCATGGCTGGAGGCTGCGAGAAATCCCCTTCCAAGTGAAAAATGGAAACCTTCCTCAGCTCTGGAGTAGATGGACAGCTAGAAACATGGGAAGGACATTTTTAAAGCACTTACTCCATTACTCAATGTACTTCATCTCATTGACTCTTCACAAAATGATAAGATCTTCGCTTTAAGATGAGGAAACAGAGGGTCAGCAGGTAGCATGGTGCTTAAAGGAGCTAGATTCCCATGTGGCCAACCTCAGTTCAAGTCCCAGACCTGGTGGCTTGCTTTCTTGCTTTTCCTTTCTTTGTCTGATCAGATTAAAAAAAAATAACGAATGGAATTAATAAGTTAATAAATCTTTAAAAAAAACAGATGAGGGGACAGAGAGGTTAAGTAACTTACCCACGGTCACAAAGCTATATGGGGAATCAACATTCAAACCCATATATATCTAACACCAAAGTCCAAAAAATTCATGAAGGCCAAGGAATATTATCTTGCTCACTCTTGAACCTAGCAAATTGTCATAGGGCTTAGCACATAGTAGATTCTCAATAAATATTCATTAAACAAATGTGTGAACAGCAAGATAGAAAGAACACAACATTGGCTTAGGGCCAAAAGGCATACAATTATCCGGTGAAACAGGCAGTAGAGCAAAAAGCTGGGGTTAAAAAGTTCCTATCTCGGGCCTGCCCTGTAGCACAGGGTTAGGTACACAGCAGATGCTGGATCCCACATGGTCGATGAGGGTTCTGGTTCCAGCTTTGTTTCCAGCCTGTGTAGGCATGCCCAGGATCCAGAATCCTGAAGTGATGGAGAAAGAGGGATTGTAGTGTGCAGTTCCCATTAGGAGAGTTCTCTTTCACTCGTGCATAAGCACAAACCCTCTAGCATTAAAAAAAAAAAAAATCTTATCTTCTAGTTCCTGTCATCCGACAGGACTAGGATAGTTTCTTTTCTAAAGTAAAAGGACTCAGGCCAGACTCTAGGATTACTGGGTCTTAAGATCTCCCAACCAAGTATGTACTCTAAGCCTCCCAATTTTGGATGACAGACTAAATAGAATAGTGAGAGGGACCAGCAAGTGGCATGGTGGTTAAGGTATTAGATTCCCATATGGCTGACCATGGTTCAAGTCTTGGAACTGGGAGCTTGAAAATCACACTGGGTGCATGCCCAGAATCTTGGGAGGAGAATGGAGAAGGGGCTGTGGTATGGTCATCCCTCCAGGATGTGATTTCTCACCTTCCCTCTCACTGTCTCTCTGGCAAGCACACATGTCCTATGAAAAAAATCATTTTCTTTTTGAAAGAATTATTTAATTCCATTTGTCATTATTATTATTTTTAAAATTGACCAGGGAGAGAAAGGGAAAGGGAGAAAGCAAGCCACCAGGTCCAGGACTCAAACCATGGTCAGCCATGTGGGAATCCAGCACCTTTAAGCACCACCCCACACACCAGTCCCAATTTTTAAAAATTATTTATTATTTTAATTTTGCTATAGGACACATGCATTCACCAGAGAGGTAGAGAAAGAAAACAAGCCACCAGTTCTGGGACTCTTAACCATGGTGTTGGCCATGGGAAAGTCTGGCAACTCAAGCACCGCGCCACCTGCTAGACCCTGGCAAAAATAAATAAATAAATAAATAAAAGGGGGCCAGCAGGTGGCATGGTGGTGAAAGGGGCTGAATTCCCATATGGCTGACCATAGTTCGAGTCCTGGAACTGGCAGCTTGCTTTCTTGCTTTCCCTTTCTCTCTGGTCAAATTAAAATAAATGACTGAATAAATGCAATTAATAAATATTTTTTAAAAATGAACTGTAACTTCAAAACAAATAATATATATTATAATGGCATAAAGAGCCCTGGATCAATCAGACCACCTGGGTTCTAGTCCCTACTCTGCAATTCTCATATTGTGTGGCCGTAGGCAATTTCTTTTTTTTCTTTTCAATTGCCAGAGGGTACATGTACTTGCCAGAGAGCCAGAGGGGCAGGAAGAGGGAGAAAGCACCTCCCCCGTGGGGGGTGGTTATGCCACAATCCTTTCTCCTCTTCCTTGTTGGGATATGGATGTGTACACACATGTATCCACGTGGCCTTGTGTGTTACTGAAGCTGTCAAATGCAAACTGCTGCCAGCCACATGGAATCTAGCTCCCTTAACCACTAGGACATAAGGCCAGCCCCCTTCTTTTTGGGGGGAAAGAATGATTTATTTAGTTCCATTTGTTATTTTAAAATTTGACCAGAGAGAGAAAGGAAAAGCAGAAAGCAGGCCACTGGGTCTGGGACTCAAACCATGATTGGCCACGTGGGAGTCCAACACCTTCACCACCACACCACCTGCTGGCCCCAGGCTACTTCTGTGCTTCACATTCATTATTCATGAAACTATAGGGATGGTGGTGGTGGTTAAAATTTTTAAAAATCATTTTATTTAACTTTTTGTATTTATTTTAATTAGACCAGAGAGGGACAGAAAGAGAAAGTGAGAAAGCAAGCTGCCAAATCCAGGATTCAAACAATGGTCAGCCATGTGAGTCCAGCGCCCTTAACCACCACACCAACTGCCGCTGGTGGTATTTAAATTTAACAAAGCAAGCGCGGAATAACATACTGTTATGCCATTTGAGTAAATTAAAAAATACATGTGTTGGCATAATAAATATTTATGGGAGGAAAAAAAGAAACAAACTATTGTTTTGAGGGAAATGAACTGAGAAAGCTGTTACTTTGCATTTTGTCCCTTTCCAAAAGGTTTGCATTTTCTAACCATGTGAATTAAAAAAAAAAAAAATCAACTGGTTTACATAAACACTAAGATATCTATCATTTTTCTTTATACTTCTCCGTATGAGACAAAAAGACCTAAATGCTATTTTCAATTAATGCTAGTGGAATGTAGGACCTAAGTGCTCCTATTCAGAGTCACTACTCTGACAGACCTAATGCTGTTATTTCAACATTACCGGCATTGGCTTTTCACGGACCAGTGAGGGAGGTTGCCTGGTGCCAGTATCCTAAGGTCCCTTTTACAGGGGCACCAAACCCGGAGAGCTGGAGTGACTTGCCATAATTCATACATCGTGAAAGCAACAGGACTTATCTTCCGACCCAAGCCTCCCGCATGTGTGCCACAAGGAGTTCCTTAACTTCAGTCGTTCTAGGTCTAAGGCTCTGGGAGGAGGAGATCCAGGAGCCTGTCCAGACTAGAGCAGCTGCAAACGCCCTAAATCTTTCCCTCCACAACCTGCAGAGGATGGTGTCCCTCCCGCATTGGCACTTCCACTGCGCGCAATGGAGATGCCGTGCAAATGCGGAGGGCTAATGTGTGCCCCCTTAGATCACGGCTCCAAAGGCTTCCCCCCGTCAGACTCAACCCGGGTGCGGACCCGGACCCCGGACATCTTCAGGCCCCAGCAGTCTTCAGTACCCACCCGCTCCACGCCGCCGGTGCAGCGAAACCCCGGGGAGGCCAGGGAAAAGGAAGGCCCTTCCCGTAACTGGCTCCGGGACGAGCGCCGGAGCTGCACCACCTCTGGGCCGCGCGGCCCTCGACTCAGCTTCCCGCTGAGCGCAGACTCCACGCGAGTCACCTCTGCACATGGGCCCTCAGCCGCGCCCGTGCGCTCTCTGGGAAATGTAGTCGAAGGGTGGAGCGGAAGCTCCGCTACGAAGCTAGCCTCTCGCAACCTGGGAGTTGTAGTCCGCCACTGCAAAGTAAGCCGCAATCAGGAAATTTGCCCGGGGTAGGAAACCGAGGAAACGCATACCAACCGCGAAGCATGTCGGGAATTGAAGGCAAAGCTGACGAGGCCGACGCGCCGGACACACTCCTGCCCATGCTCGGCGTGGAGGCCGCTGGGAACTGTAGTTCCTAGAGAAGATGGCTCCATTTTCTAGGTGGTTATGGCTTCTTGGTCAAGGCGAAAGGCCTCCCTTCCAGACAAGACTATATAGCCAGTACCCCGCAGGCAACTCTCTGCTGGACAGGTCTGGGGCATGTTAAAAATCTGTCATAGGCTTTCCAGAGGAAGGGATCAATGCGGGCCCTCCCTATGCTGGATGATGTAGTCACAAAATGCCAGACCTGGAAGGAGCCTTAGCTGATGATCTAGTTCAGACTTTCCACTTAACTTCGGGGAGATTCCACCCTATTAACCTCCTCCCCCTAATCTCCCATCACCTGTTAGAGATGACAGGCATCCCTAGCGTTAGCAGGGGACAAGGATTACCCTCCCAGAGTTTTTGGCATGCCCTGGGGTCAGCGTTGTTTTTGCAACCAGCCCAAACAATTCCAGCAGCAAACTGGCTCCTCCCCCCACTCCAGAAACCTGTGTGGAACAGCAGCAGGCAGCAGAGAAATAAAATGAATGGTAGTTTATTCTAGGACTCTCTCCTCATGCAATTTTTTTAAAAAAATTGTCTTTGCCATAGGGTACATGTTGAGAAATTACCCAAGGACAATGGCCATGCCACAATCCCCTCCTCCATTCTCCTTCTGGGATTTTAGACATTGAACACACACAAGCCTGGTGTGATTTTTCAAGCTGCCAGGTCTGGAACTTAAACCGTGGTCAACCATGTAGGAGTCCAGTGCCTTAACTATCTAGCTACCTGCTGGCCCTGAGTTTTGGGTTTGTTTGTTTGTTTTTAAAGAATTACTTAACTTGGATGGGAACCAGCAGTTAGTGTAATGGCTATGTCGCTGGACTCCCACATAGTTGACCGTGGTTCGCGTCTCTGACCCGGTGGCTTAAATCTCACGCCGGGCGCGTGTGCGTGCGTGCCCAGGATCCCGAGAGGAGAATGGAGAAGGGATTGCGGCGTGACCATCCCCCCTGGGGGGTGATTTCTCGCTTTCTGTCTCTATGTCTGTCTCTGTCTGTTTGGCGAGCGCATGCGCCCTATAGCAAAAACCTCTCCAAAAAAAACTAAGAATTATTTAACTTGGGACCAGCGGGTGGCGTGGTGGTTAAGGCGCTGGACACTTCCACATGGCCGACCACAGTTCAAGTCCTGGACCTGGTGGCTTGCTTTCTCACTTCCCCCCTCTCTCTCTTTGTCTCTCTGGTCAAATTAAAATAAATGGATGAATAAATAAGATTAAATAAGTAATTATTTTAAAAATTACTTAGCTTTATTTATCTATTTATTTATTTATTTCAATTTGACCAGAGCAAAATAGAATAATAGAGGAAAAAAGTGAGAAAGTAAGCTGCCAGGTCCAGGACCCGAACTGTGGTTGGCTATGTGGGAGTCCAGAGCCCTTAACCACCATACCACCTACTGGCCCCCCTGAGTTTTGGTTTTCTAACAGCTTTGGAATGGCAGAGGCTGGCACCCTCTACTTTGATCTGAGATGATTTGAGAATTATTTGTATTCCCATCTCCCACCCCCCCTTCAGTTAACCAATATACCCACAAAGAATCAGTCCGAATCCAAAATAGTAATCAACGGGTTTTATTTTCCTAGAACTGAAATAGTCTACGGTTCTCAGAGCTAAACTTCCAAAGCTACAGTCAGCAATTTTTCATCAGAGCCCAGGGGAGAGGGGCAAAGTAAACGAGACAAGAGACAGAAGAGAGGTGGAGAGACCACTGGGACGAGGCTGGGAGCAGGCGGGCACTCCCCTCTGTCCTCTCAGCAGGTTACAAGTCGGGTCTGGTGACAACACTGAGGGGACCAGTTGGGACAGCGGATGGGAAATGACACCAGAAGGAACACCAAAGCCCCAGCTACAAAAAGAAAGTCATCAAACCCCAAACAGAAAGGGAGCCTCCCAGTGCACCTCAGAAATGGGGGCCATGGTGAGGAAGGAGGAGCAGGATGGGGAGCACACGAGGGCTAAGGGTCTTTAAAATTTTTTTTTAATTTTCTTTTATTAAAAACATTTCCTAAAAAATGTGTCTTTTCCTTTATGTCTGGGTGATGTAGAGGACTGCAGGCTGGCCGTGAGCACTGGGGAGTGGGAAAAGAGCAGCTTGGGGTCTCCCCAGGGCACCCCATCTCTGGCCCCAGAGATCTAAAAGGGGGCAGATGCTTAACACTCCCACCCAAATGGGTGGGGTCAACCCTCCAGATCTCGGGTGCTTGGCCCAAACAACTTGGAAGCCCCCAAATCTTTTGATGATAAACCACAACTCCCAGAACTCCTGGGGTCAGCAAAAGGAAGAATGGTGTTGTCAATCAAGAAGGATTTATAGGGGAGATCCTCCCACACATAAGCTGTTCTGCTTTCCCTGAATCTAGGCAGCTGGGAGAATGGATGGGGGAGAAGAGGACAGCTCAAAAGATGCCAGCTTCCTGCCCCACCTCAATTCGAGGACTGCCCGCCCAGGCTCCAGAAGCCCACCCTGCTGTTCATGTTCCATCCCTTCCACTCCTACCCCACCCCAACCCAGAAGTCCAGAATGCCTCGGGGAGGGAGAGAAGGGTGTCAGGAGGTGGAAACAGCCCAGGCCCCAAGAACAGCTCTGGGAAACAGCTCCAAGCGGAAAGGAACAAGTGGCCTCATCTCATCCCAGGGAGCATAAGCTATGGCCCTGACTCAGACCACAGGGGAGCAGGGACCTGGCGGCGAGCGCTGGTGGCCTGCTCCACCCAGGTCGGTCTTGGGGCCTGGGCTTGGAGTGGGGGAGTGAGTGGGAGAGGAGAGCGGGCTGGGGCGGGAAAGGGGTTCCCAGTTTTCAGGCCATGGCCAGTTTCCCCAGTAGCACCCAGACAGCAGCAGGAACGGGGCGGGGGCTCCTCTTGAAACATTGGTGGCTACAGGCTGCAGGGGAGGGTTGGAGGGGAGAAGGGTTACTGGTGTGGCTGTGGCCAGGCCTCGCCCCAGCCAGTGGCGGTCTCCTGGGAGAGCCTCCCGCCTCCCGAGAGGCTGACCGCTGCTGGCCCTCCCAGTCCAGCTGCCGGGGGCAGGGGCCTCGCTCACCTCTCGTGATCTCTGACGCCCGGGGCCTCGGCATCTTCCTTGGCAGTCTCTTCCTCCTCTTCCTCCTCTTCCTCCTGAGGAGGCCCCCGGCCAGAGCCTGGCTCAGACGGGGTGCTATTCTTTTCCACCTCCACAGGGAGAGGCCTCTCACTCTCCAAGGTGGCTGCCTCCTTCTCCTCCCCTTCAGGGTCTTCTGCCTCCTTGGGACGTTTAGGGGAGTCCTAGGCAGGATGGCAGAGCAGAGGTGGGCTGAGATTGCAGAGGGACGCTGGCCTCCTCCCCGTACACCCGCTCCTCTCCTCCTAGGCACCTTCCTGGACGAAACCCACAGTCCTCCTCAGTCCTCTCCCAGCTGACTGGCAGCCCTGTACCCTCTTCTCAGTGGGGCTCCCTAAGACCAGGGGCTCGATCTTCTCTCCTACTGGGGACTCCCTGAAGTGGGAGGGTCCCTCTTCTCAAACTGCACGCTTCCGAGACCAACCAAGCCCTGCTCCCACGCCCTGTTTCCACGGATGCTGGTGGGGGTCTGGGCCCCGTTACCTCTAGCAGGTCCCCCGCTCTCCGCTTCAGCACCCCCTTCTCGTTCTTCTCCTTGGCCGGCTCGTCGATGACCAGCTTCCCTTCCTCGTCGCTGCTGCCCTCTGCGTTCCCCTTCTTATCGCCATCGCCCTCTGCGGCTTCGGGCTCAGGCTCCTCCACGCAGCTCTTTTTCTGGGAGGACTGTGACAGAGACAGCCGAGGCTGAGTGGCACCAGTGGCGGCCAGGATGGGACCCCTCCCCAGACCCCTCCCTCGGCCACTCACTCCTTCCTTTTCCCGCCTCTCCCCCACCCCCACCCAGGTGCCCAGTCTCCCCCACCCCCACCAAGGTGCCCAGTCTCACAAGTGATTTGAGACCCACCTCTGTCGGATTAGCCCCAGGGTAAACCCACTGGCCGGGCAGGCAGGGCTCTGTGCAGCCCCACCCTCCCGCCTTGTCCTGCCCGGCTCACGAGCACCTCCTCCTGGAAGCCTTCGTGGGAGAGTTGAGGCCATGTCCTCTACTCCTGCTGGGCCCACAGAGGCCTGCCCCACAGACTGCCTCCATCCTGCCTCGCTCCCAGGCTTGCTGACTACCAGTCGCCCCTGACCACGGCTCTTCCACACACCCATGCATCCAGCCCCTCTGCCAGGAATCCCCCACCCAGCCCAGTGAGCTCCTGCCCTGACAGCCCTGGAGTTTCTAAAGACCAAGCATCACCTGTGGGCCCGGGGCTCCGGAGCCCCTGCCACCTGCGCTCCGGGGGTCTCTGGGGAAGATGGCAGCTCACCTGGTAGCCGGAAGCCTTGACGGTGGGGTTGTTCTCGATCTCCCACAGCCCCTCGCTGAACCCTTTCCTCTTGTTGGGCTTGCCGAACTTCTCCTTGGACTCCTCGTAAGGGAAGAGGTCTTTGGGGCCGGGAAGAGATGGGAGACTGTGCTCTCGCGCCCTCGCGCCCAACGCACAAGTGGGACCTCCCGCCACCCTCCCCATCTACCCTGGTCCCTCTCACTCACGTCTCGTGGGTCCCGAAGAAAAAGACTTGGTATTTGTTGGCCGTGGATTTCACAGCGGCCTCTGGCATCTCGTCAATCTGGGGGTGGGATGAGGAACGTGAGCATGCACTGGGGTCCCGTGGTCTCAAGTCTGGGGCAGGGGTGCTGACCTCTCAGGCACATTTGTATAATCGGACCCAGAGACCCTGGAGCTGACCACAGCAGTTTGGGAGCCACTGCAGCCACGGAACTGTGTGCAGATGAAGTTGGACACGAAAAGCCCCACAGACACCAGGAGTCCCTCCAGCCTCGCCTCCCAACACGCCAGGCCTAGCTACATGTGCCACGTGCTTGCTACCACATGGCCCAAACGCTGCCACCTCTTTTTGCCTAGGCTGAAACCTTAGCATCACCTCATTCCCGCTCCACTACCTCCCCTTCTCCACTGCGGCTAGGGCACACCTTCAAAGTGCTGATCTGAGCAATTCACCCCCCTTCCTCCAGACCCTCCCACACCTTCTGTGCTCAGCCATGTTGGAGTGCCGCGCCCCTAACCGCCATGCCACCTGCCGGCTCCTATGCCTGCAAGTTCGGAATCCCACCTCTGCTACCACATACGTATGAGCATGGGCTAACTAACCCTGTCCCTCTGCCTCGGTTTTCTCATCTGTACAATGGGCGTCGGTAGTGGGCCAGCCTGTCACATGCAGTGAAGGGCGCTGGACCCCACAAGGCCAACAGCACGGTTCAGGTCCAGGATCTAGCAGCTTAAAATACGACAGGAATGTGCATGCATGCCCAAATCCCAAAAGGGTAATGGAGGAGAGATTGCGGTGGGGCGGTCCCCACCTACTACTTTCTCTCTCTCCTCCTTCTCTCTCTGGTGAGTGTAAATACCTCATAGCAAAAAAAAAAAAGAAAAGAAAGAAAGAAATCGCCGAAATACAATGGAGGTGGCTGTAGCACAGGAGATACAAGGCCGGGAGGGTGAAATGCCCGTAACCTGCCCTGTGTTCCACCTCACCCAGAACGCTGCCCTGGCTCTGGCCACATTGTTTTTTTGTTTTTGAGAGATTTTTGCTATAGGGCGTGTGCACTCGCCAGACAGACAGAAAGCAGGAAATCACCCCCTGGGGGGATGGCCACACCGCAATCCCTTCCCTTCCTTCCATTCTCCTCTCGGGATCTTGGGCACGCACGCACACGCGCCCGACGTGAGTTTTAAGCCACTGGGTCCGGGATGTGAACCACGG